TGTGAGACATTATCTTGATCGACTGATATATGGTATCATGGGTTTCACGATAATGTAAGCAACAAGGTGAAGCTTGTACAAGGTCGAACAGACTAACCAAATGACCCCCACGCCAAACATGAAATCTAAGTCCAAACCGACACACATACACATAGCTATTCATAAACACGCTAACCACTCACACCACACAAGCTCCATACCATATTTCCCCTAAACCCACCCGTACAAACCTTACTCGGCTCTCCCTCCCTTGTCCTATCAAACATATACATATCCGCACACTTCCCCTCGCACTTGAACCCTTCACACGTCACATTCGCACCTTCACTCGGCTCAAATTCGAGCACCATTCCCCTCCGATATCCCGGACACCACTCAGTCTTGCGACGATAGTCCTCCTCCGTAGCAGTCAAATCTGTGCCGTTGAAATCAGAACGTTGCCCGCAGTCCACCTCCGATACATCACACCAGGTTAGCGCCTTATCCGGCTCCACTGCAGCCTCAATAGTCCGGGCGTATTCAAGCTGCGATATGTTGCCTACATATGGACCGTTTGTCCACCCGAGCTTCATTGATATGCCCTGACCGAAGAGCTTATCGGTGGCAGGGTCGTAGCCTGGCTTCTCATCGGCAGCAATATAGGTATTGCGAAAGGCTTCAGTGTAATTCTCGCCCGGTGCGATGTGGTGCTGGATTAACTCTTCTTTGGCACCATATCCAGTCGAGTCATTACGGGGGCCACTGAGACGCCATCCACCAACGGATGTGAGGATGAATGTCTCATTACATTTGTTGACGATAACTACGTTGCCCCATTTCCACCCATCATCGAGGACAGGCGGATCGAAGTCGTAGCTTGACGTCTGAGGAGGAAGGTCGCGCCCGGAAATAGGTTGCTGGTACCCGTACGACTCATATTGGGGTATATAGTTATCAGAAGATGTTTGATCGAGTGTGTTGGGTGCATGTACCGGTGATGCGTGGATTTCTTGGACTTTCTCCGAGATTTGTATGCCAAAGAGAAGAAACAAGCATAAGAACAAGGTCCTAGCATTTTCGAGTGAATTGAACGCGGCAGACATTGTGAACGCTGTAGATTCTGATATGCGTGGCTATGTGGTAAATCGATGTGCTGTCATCCTCGTTAGAATCAATCATCCACCGTACGAACGTCAAACACTCACAAGAAGCAATAGTCCACGTAGCACCGTCTTTCTATTCTGTACTCGGCAAAATACACAAGAGTGTAAGAGAAACATATTCATAATCTTCGTGTTAAATACTCCCCATGACCACCGGAATGAGTCTTCTACAGGTATGACTTGTAGAGACTCACAACATGGTGACGCTCGGTGTGAAAATTGACTCGCATCGCCAACAGTGACACATGTTGACTCGGAGTCGTGGCGGGTATACCATGTATTCTCTGTGAATCCTCGCCAGGTTGCTGTCTGTGCGGAAGAGTCACATCGTCATCTCATCTCTCGAAATAAGTCCGGATGGTATTTTGGCTGAAGGTGTACCTGCGAGAAAGAGAAGTCGTTGGAGGAGGTGCGGGATGAGTAGCGAACTGCTCGGTAATATCAAATTTCCTAACATTCATCACACAGCAGTAATTTCAGATGCAAAACATGGGGTTGGTTTGACTTGGGAAATGAACAAAGTAATCGTTTGCCTAGACTGAAATATGCTTCGACGGGAGACGAAGGGATTATTGAAATATTTTGAAGAAAATGGGTCGATTAACCACCCTAATTAAACTACACTAACATGCAACCATGATCGCGAGTTGAACTCACGTCACGTTTTATTATCACCCCACCGTAGCCACTCTACGCCTTCTTCGCCTTCTTGCCCTTCGGAACACGCGCAAGCCAGTATAAGAAAATGGCCGCGGCAATGTTGACAACACTGTACACCCAAAGCAAACCAAAGTCCCTCCAGCGAGTATTCCAATCGACGTTGAAGCTCTCCAAGAACTGATTCGTATTGTCCATGGGGCAAAAGTCGCATGTGGCCGTCGCTTGTGCATCACGAAGGTACCCGCCATTCCCGTTTATGTACTCCTGCATGTACACACCGCAGGTCTGTCCCTGGGGTGGTAGAAAACGCTGAAACTCAGTTTCAGTGCAGGTCATCCCTGCCTGGCCCAATGTCGCGCTCAAAAAGCTCGAAACGAGGTAAGTGAAGGGATCAACGCGATACATGAAGATCCAAAACTTTGGCATCTCGTCGCGTTTAACGAGGATACCGCAGAATGCATAAAGCATAACGGACATGATGGTAGCTGTGACGCTGGCTATCGACTCGTCTGGCGCTGCGGCGATCAAGAGGTGGGCAAAGGTGCTTGCGAAGATGAAAACGGCGACGACTAGGAGGAGGGTGTGGAAACCGCGAATGGAGACGCTGTCGGTGACTTCGGCGTTGCGAAAGTAGCCAGCGGGGTAGTACCAGACGAGGAAGCAGGGTAAAGCCACGGCGGCGTTCCATGCCAGTTCAATCAAAATGTTCGAAAGAACAAATGCCTGCCAGGCGTACGTCTTGGATTGTCGTTCGCGTGCTTCGTAGAGGGTTCGCTGGGAGATCCACATGGGCAGGATTTGGAAGATGAGCTGAGTGACCTAGAAGTTTTATTAGCATACGTCTTTCGAGTTGAGAGGGCTGGGGTTATACTGACCACGAACAAGAAGATGAAGACGCCAAACAGTTGGTTCTGGAGGCCTTGGATTGTGTTTTCGCTGTTGAACAAGGACATGCCGATCAGAAGTGAGCATCCGACAGTGAGGACTGCTTTGGAAAAGATGTAGCTTGGTGTGCGCCAGTACTGCTGACCACATCGTAGTGCGACGGCCATCAGTTGATCCTTGAAAGATGCAGCAAATTCCCGATGGCTGACATTGTCCGCGACTGCAGAGGGCTGGTTGGCGAGTTCCCTCAGTCTGGCCAGCTCCGTCTGAACGTTGGCATATTCCGGGCTGCTCTTCCAAACAGAAGGCCAGTCAATCTCAGCCTTCGTACCAGGCGCTGCACCAATGGCCCCCAGCATGTACTCGGCAGGGTTGGTGCCAGGGGGGCATTCTGGTGCGCCGGCGCGGGAAAAATACCCCAGAAGTGTCTCGGAATTGGCACCAATGTCCCCAAAATAGACAACCTTTCCTCCCCTCGCGAGCAAAAGGAGACGGTCAAATCGTTGGAAGAGGAGCGATGATGGCTGGTGGACCGTGCATAAGATGGCTTGGCCATCTTTAGTGAGCTTCTCCATAAGATCGCAGATAGACCAGGAGGTTTGACTGTCGAGACCGGAAGTAGGTTCGTCAAGGAAGAGGAGTAATCTTGGACGAGCGGCAAGTTCGACTCCTATAGTGAGCCGTTTACGCTGTTCGACATTGAGCCCGGACCCGGGAATACCGACAACCGCGTCAGCGTACGGCTCCATATCCAGTAGTTGAATGACATGGTCTACATAAGCCAATCGCTCTTCGCGCTTGTACTCTGGTGGCTGCCTCATCAAGGCGGAAAACTCCAAGGCTTCTCGTACAGTAGACGTTTCGAGGTGGATGTCTTGTTGCATGCAATAGCCTGTCTGTCGCTGGAATGACTCATCTCTCTCGCGACCATCAACCAGCATATTGCCGCCAATGACACCCATGGTAGTGCGGCTTGCGAGGACATCGAGAAGTGTGGTCTTGCCTGCGCCTGAAACACCCATAAGAGCCGTCAGGGTGCCTGGTTTGATAAACCCATCAACGTCGTCGAGAATAGTACGAGTTTCACTCCCAATCTGGACTTCGTATCTGACTTTCTCCCAGTGGAAAACCGAGACCTGCTTCTGTTCTCCTTGATCCGACTTGGTAGTTGAAGTGATTTTCTCGCCTTCGTGAGCAGTCGCACCACCTCCCTCTGCATCTATGCCCTTGCGCTTGGCCATGGCCTTCATCTTGGAACGGCGGAAGATGAGAACCTCGCCTTTAGAGCGCTCAGATGCAACCAGTTCGGTCATGAGCAAGTGAGCAAGGAATAGGAAGGTGGTGATTGCCAGGATGAGGCCGTAGTTTGACCAACGTCGACCGTACGAGTATTGAAAGGAAGTCTCGACGTATGCAGTTCCATCAACGAAGTCGAGCCCAGGTCTCGAGCCCTTCGTAGCGCATACGCGCTGCTCTGGAGCGACATTGTCGTATGAAGGCCCAGAGGGAATGAAAGTCGAGCAGGGGAATGATCGGTCATTGAACTCATTGACCATAATGTTTTGGAACCCATAGAACACCGGGTTGATATATCTAAACCAGGCAATCCATCTAAGATTGTTAGCCGGAACTCACGTGGTAGCGGCCACATTGCGCAATAGCCAATAGGAGAAAAAATATGGGAACTAGGGAGAACTTACCCACGCATGTACTGCACTGGGATGGCAAAGCCGGTGTAAAGGGCGATACCAACCAAGAAGACGGAGCTGGGCGCAAGCGCCTGTGCCATGGTCTTTGACATTGAACCGAAAAGGCGGAAGAACATGCTCATTGACATGCCCGTTGTGAATCCAACCAGTAGGAAGTAGAAATAGGGCCCAGGCTCTCGACGCAAGTTGGCCATAAAATACATAGTGGTATTGACGAGAATCGAGTTCGCAATCTTGTAAGGCATGTCGACAATCATGGAGCTCATCGCCTCGGCGCTGGGATGGTAAAGGGCATAACGGTTGTGCTGTACCAGTTGTCAGCTTCAATTTTCCAGGTTACGGACTGGAAAGAACTCACCTTCTCGACAATGGTCCGCTTCGCGTACAGAGTCATAATCTCCATCAAGCTGCCAAGAGCGTTGATTAGAATGACTATGAACAAGACTGACCCTCGACGAAAGAATGAATCTGTGTTCTCGGGCAGATTGAAGAAGATACTGGCCACGATGAGGGCCTCGAAGAAATTGAGGATCAGCATCGTCAAAGGGATGCTAGGGTCGCCCTTGAGCCTCTGGATGTCTCTCCACATGCAGAGGCGCGTCTGCGCCATGTAAGAGAGAGTGAATGGAGATTTCTGACGTTGGTTTTTCGACTTTTCCAGGCTCCTTGAGAGAGCAAATTGCTTGTAGGTTTCACCCTTGAGCGGGTAGGCCTGGTGGTAGTCGTCGATTGCACGCAGGAGCTGTGCCCTTTCAGTGCTCTCCTTCCAGCAGCGAGCGAAATCGTCTGATGTTCGGGGCGTCTTGTTCTCATAGCCCGGTCTGATCCGACGCTCGGCAGCTGATGTCATTGAGGTGAGAAAGTCTGGGGTCGTCTGGTTGGGAGGACATTCGAATCCAAGGCGCTGGAAGTATTCGCGTGCTTCTTGCGTAGGTCCAAAGTATATTTGTCGGCCTTCGTACAAGACGGTTACCTTGTCAAACAGCTTTTGAAAGTTAGCCATATTCTCAAGCCAAGTGATTGACATGTCTGGAGACTAACCTCGTAAGCAGCTTGTGGGGCTTGATAGATGGCAACAAAAGTAGTTGCACCAAACACATCACACTGTGTTCGAAGGGTCTTGCAAAACCCAATTGCGTTCGCAGAGTCTAACCCACGAGTTGAGCTTTCATCTGGTCAGCTGCAGTACATCTTGTATGTTCAGTTCTCAACTCACTTGTCCCATGCCCTAATTCATCTTGTTAGCATTGTTCGTTGTCTTGTTTTGCTGTCTTGACTTACTGCAGGGATGCAAAGCTCAGAGTAGCTTCAGCGATGGTGACCCTCTTGCGCTCGCCGCCACTAACTCCGCGTACGAAATCATCGCCAACACGCGTGTTGTTTGTGTGGGAAATGCCGTACATTTTCATCACAACCTATGCGAAACGTCAGCGTGTGCCATGCGACATGAATTTGACAAACTGACATCGCGGAGGTGTTCAGCATAACGCTTTGAAGTGACACCACCGGGTATAGACCGTGGTGCGCGAGCTTGAGCTGCGAAGTAAAGTGTATCACCAACACTTAGTTGGGGGAAATGTGCGTCAACCTCTGCGGTGTAAATGGCTTCTCCTCGAAACGAAGTGTGCATGTCTTTTGGAGGTATGCCCTGGTAGTTGAGATAGGATTCTGGACTAATTTCGAAGCCATGAGTTTCGCCCATAATAGCCTTGAGAAACGTAGAGCAGCCGGAACTAGTTCAGGTAAGTCGAATGCTGCAGTGTTGAGTGGGAATGACACTTACCCAGGCGGTCCGAGGACGCAAAGTTGCTCTCCTGGAAGGACAAGGCCGTCTAGATCTCGTAGAATATCAATCTTTTGCTGACCCCTGCCAAATAATGAAGGAAGCTTCAAGAAGATGTTGCCTACTGTCGACTGGAAATCGGTGGGCGATCCCTTACCCCACACATTGAGGCCTTTGAAGGCAACACCAGCGACGCGAGCAGCCGTGTCATCGCTACTATACCGTAGGTCGTAAAACGATTTAGCCCAGGCTCTCGCAGAAAATGTCTCGCTAGCAGGATCTAAGAGATGATTCCGGTCTTCAGCAAAAGGGGATCCAATGTTGTGTTGCTCAGATTGTTCTGTGAATATGCGAGCGAGATGATGAACCTCACGGTCCTGCTGTGTTTCATCTTGGAATTCGTCTTTGATCTCGTCGTTGGTGCCAGATTGGAAACTCTGGGCTGACATGGCTCTCAATAATGTGGATGTCTGAAGATGCTGTAGGCTGTTTTTCGACTTGGAGAACGCTTCTGAGAACGAAGACTAGGATTTGAAGAAATTAAATTTATAAGATATAAGCGCAGAGAACTCAGCGAACATTATCTGTTGAACATTATGGCCGTTTCAAACAACGGCGCGTGCGTTGTTACTGTAGGGGTTGAAAGCCCGAAAATCCATCATCGTAAGCCATCATAACTCCGTGGTGGACACTCCAGACCCCTCCCAAGAACTATATGTGCTGTTGAATAACACTGGACAGCCGAGGATGCGACAGTGAGACCGAGGATGAGACAGTAAGCAGGAAGTGCGCAAACAAAAAGCTGTCCGAACATCCGGCGAGTCAAAGCGTCCGGTGTTTCGGCGAAAACCTCAGGGTCCGGCTTGCCCCCAACTTGGTCACAGCATTCACCGCAGGAACGCATACGCATCTGGGGTTATACAGTCTAGGATTTGCAGATAGTTTCCCCGGATTCTTGGTGGTGCATAACGTTATCTATTCTTGCTGAACCTTTCCCGCTTTGGGCTGGATTCGCACAGGGATCGATATGAAGCTTGCCGTAAGTGGATGTCCGCGATAACGATAACTACCTAGATAGTACCTACATGCTAACATCACTCGCAGTGCACTCGCTGCAAGCGCAAGAAGGTATGCGCATGTCTTTTTGTAACAATCCTCCGTCGCCTACAGAGTAGCACGAGTGGCTTAAATGCGCCTCTGTTGAGCTAGCTACGTTGCATGAACATGGTGTGAAGACATCTAGGCTACCCGAACGCAACCACACCTTGTTACCGCGGTTGTTATGCTCGTTTTCATGAGCTACATTATTGACATACGTGGCAGATCAAGTGTGGTAGGAACGAACCAATATGTCAACAATGCATTGCAGCGAATGCAGAATGCCAATATGTGGAACGACGCCCAAGACCCCGAGGATTGGGGAAACACAGAAACGCTATCGAGCATCTACAACAGCGACTAGAGCTACTCGAAAAGCAGACCAGCAGCACGAGTGACGAAGACACTCCCTCTGTCTCAACGTCAGAGCCAAGACCAGGAACTGCTCAAAGCAATGCACTCCCACCATGGCCAGAGACGTCATCAGGTGTAGATGATGGGCAGGAGTCATGGGTTTATCGACTAGCTTCAGCAACGAGACGGCACTTCCAAACTCAAGCAACTCCAGCTGCGACGCCGGGCCAGACGCCTCGAAGCGATCAGGCCCGTGACCGCATCGATAGCTCCCTGGTGTTGCTGAACGAGGCTCTTGATGACCTGGGCAATCTGAGACTTCGCACAGAGGCGCATAATGTAGTACTTGATCTATCTCCTACAGAGGCACGAGCGTATATTGACTCATTTGGAAATCTCAAGGATGCCATGGCCGTGCCAGGCGTCTTTGCATTCTCCACGATTGACATCAAATTTCTTCGAGCGCTTCCAGAGATGATAGATTCACCCCATATCGTCGTAAAGTCAGGAACGCGCGTCATGTACTACAACGCATTGTACTACGGGCTTCTTGAAGAACTTGGCCCAGGACATTCCCTAACAACGAAAGCGTACATGAAAGTCCTTGAGAGCGTACCAGCCTGGCTCGAAGACACCGATATGACAGACCTGGACGGGAATACTGCTGCCCTGACTGCATGGACCGCGATTAACAATCACGACTATCAGCTGGCATGGAAGTTTCATTGTAAAAGCATATTTTATCTTCGAGCCAGAGGTATAGATCAGCTCGACGTCACGCCGACGAGGAGTTTTGAGGAAGAAGCTGAGAGAGTTGCGCACCGGTATCTTTACTGGCACATCTTATCCATTGACATGATGTTTCAGTTGTTTTTTGGGAAGCCCGCTATGATGCGGTGGTCGCCTAACAATGTCCGGCCACCGGATTTCTATCGTGATACAGACGCCTCAGCGGCGAAAATCACCACGACTATTGTCTGGATACGGATCACACGTCTAGCCACAGAAACGCTTAATCTTGCCAGTAACACAAAGGACAATATTGAAGGTGTTGCCCTTGAGGTTGACAAACTCTGTCTTCAACTCGAAGGCATTATGGCCGAGTGGAAACTAGAAAGGCTTATGGACGACGAAGACATATCAAACGACTACCGCTGTCTCATTATAGATGCTGTTAGTATGTGTTATCTGTTTTTGTTCTTGCCATTATACACACGGCTAACGTTGATTCAAGTGACTATATACGCTATCATCATCGGTATGCAGAGACTAGTCCAGAAGACCAGACCAGGAGCTAGAACACTCCACGCTGCTCGACGAATTGTGACTCTTATCATCGAGTTCTATGCGAGCCCGACCCTGACCAACAGGTCTAGGACTGTTTGCACCCAGTAAGGCGATTGGAAATTTATCAGTACAATTGCTAACAGCGAGCCAGTTTTATGACATTTTTCCCCTTCTGTGCCATCTTCACTCTATACGAGCACATCATTGCCTGCCTTGAGCCCGAAGAATGTGATAGCGACATCCAGGCCCTAGAAAACATGGGGCTTGCCATGGCGCAGATTTCGACTGAACGCCCTGGCTTTGTGCCATTTGCGAAAACAATTGATGCATTGAATAAAGTATCGCGCATTCTACTGGAGGAGAGACGCTTGGCAAGAACGACGGATGTAGTAAGACAAGTCGACTCTGGCGCTATGGAGGGCGTGGATCTCCCTTGGGCAGGATTTGATGCTTTTCAAAATCTTGTCGCAACCGAGTTACCAGACTTTGATCTATCGACTTTCCCACCGCTCCCAGACTACTCCATGGATGTGGAAGGAGATTTCTATCCCTCTGGCTTTTTTAGAGCCTTGGAGAATGATTTTATGAGATAAATTTGGTAGTTTGTATTATTAGAAACTGGGTTGTTTTATGGGAAGGACTAAGATAGGTTGTAGCAATCAAGCCCATGGACGTGTTCCGGGGCCGACGAGGATAACAATTCCGTCACTTGCCTGAGTCAGCCTCGCTACCCAATCACCATGCGCTTCCAACGGCCTGGCCCGTGCGCGAGCCAGCGTTCTCCGCAATTCAGGCGCTCCAAATTCCTCCACATTCCGCGCCGGCGCAGTTCCGTTCGCCGTCCATACGTGCCGATGCAAACCATACTAACGTATCCCGAGGTCGCGCTGCCCAGTGTTTGGGATACAGATAATACGGAGGACCTCCACATCTCTGTTCTTATAATTCTTTGGGCCCCTTCTCTTTGGTCTCTGTAAAGACGACATTGCATTGTTTGTGTTCTACTACAGGTTCTTGATATACTTCGCCCAAGATGCCGTCGATATCCCTCACCCTCCGCACAGCGCGTACTTTTTCGCGAAGCACCACAAAAGTACTATCCACTCCAGACTTCTTGAGGCTTCTTGGGCAAACATTGACCCTGTTAGACATATCTTAACCTCTCTCGCTCCTTCTCGTCATCGCTTCGTCGCAATGAGATCAACAAGGTGTACCCAAGCGCTGCAGCCGCAATTGAAGACATGTCTTCCGACAGCACGCTTCTGTGCGGTGGTTTCGGACTCTCAGGTGTCCCAGATACGCTTATCGAACAAGTAAAAAACACCCCACACATTACCGGCCTAACCGCCGTATCCAACAACGCCGGCGTTGTGGGAGGAGGTCTGGGTTTACTACTAGAAAGCAAACAAGTCAAGAAGATGATTGCAAGCTACGTAGGCGAGAACAAGGTTCTCGAGCAAATGTACCTCACAGGAGAACTAGAGTTGGAACTCACACCCCAGGGAACACTAGCAGAAAGATGTAGAGCAGGCGGTGCCGGCATCCCCGCATTCTACACACCCGCCGCCTTTGGCACCGTCGTCCAAACAGGAGAACTAGCACTCAAGCATAACGGCGATGGCACCGTCGCCCAATACTCGACACCCCGCGACGTCAAAGTCTTCGCGGGCAAGAGCTACATAATGGAAGAAAGCATAAAAGGCGACTACGCCTTCATCAAAGCCTACAAAGCCGACCGCCTAGGAAACGTGCAATTCCGCTTCTCCGCCCAAAACTTCAACGGCGCCATGGCCCGCAATGCCAAAATCACAATCGTAGAAGCCGAACACATCGTCCCCGTCGGCGATATCCTCCCCAACGCCGTCCACGTCCCCGGCATCTACATCGACCGCGTCATCCAATCGACCGCAGAGAAGAAGATTGAAAAAGTAGTAAACGCAAAAGACCCAAACGAAGCCCTCGCTGCCGACCTCGGCAAAGGCGACACGGCATCGAAACGCGAACGCATCGTCCGTCGCGCCGCTAAGGAATTCAAAAACGGCATGTATGCAAACCTAGGTATCGGCATGCCCATGCTCGCCCCTTCCTTCGTAGACCCCTCAGTAGAAGTCCAATTGCAGTCTGAAAATGGTATCTTGGGTCTAGGCCCTTACCCGCAAAAAGGAACAGAAGACCCAGACCTCATCAACGCGGGTAAGGAGACGGTTACTTTACTCCCCGGTGCTTCGTGCTTTGGGTCTGAAGAGTCGTTCGGCATGATCCGTGCTGGTAAAATCAATCTCACTATCCTCGGTGCGATGCAAGTTTCCGCACATGGCGATTTGGCGAATTGGATGTTGCCCGGCAAAGTCAAGGGGTTTGGAGGCGCCATGGATCTGGTTAGTAATCCGCAGATGACCAAGGTGGTGGTTACTATGGAGCATACGGATAAGAAGGGGAGGCCGAAGATTTTGAAACAGTGTGAGTTTCCGCTTACGGGCAAGGCGTGTGTTAGTCGGATTATCACGGATTTGGTATGTTGCTTCTCTCTTTCGTTGTCATTTTGTTTGGGTTCGCTCAGGGACTAACGCGTTTGCAGTGTGTATTCGACGTCGATTTTACTCAGGGTCTGACGCTCATTGAGCTCGCGGATGGTGTTACCGTGGATGAAGTGCGGTCCAAGACGGGTGCGACGTTCAAGGAAGCGGCTGAGATTAAGCCCATGTTGTAGAACGTGGATGTGAATATGAATATGACGCAGATTCCCCAGTTAGACAAAAGAAGAATTCACTACATTGAATTCGAACGTTATAAGCGCACCACAGGAATCTATCAATAACAGGAGTTTTGTAGGTAAGCGGTAAAAGCATGTATGTATATCCATGTTCTATACACAAAAACAGGTGGCGCGCCGACCCAACACAAGGACACTCTCATGAACGCCTCTACCAATCTATGCCTACTGCAATGATGACAACAACAACAACAACAACAAACACTAAAATACCTCAACTCCCCGAAAGAAGAAGAATCCATGCCCCCAATCTACTCCGTCCGCGTCTTACTCCCGACCCCATCAACAGCCGGATCATACTCTGCGCCCCTCTGACTCTTAACACTACTCCTCTTGGGCAAGATTGAAGGATTAGCCTCCTTAAGCGGGGCCACCTCGGAAGCCTCAATATCAACATCACTCTCATCGTCATCAATACCCGCCTCCCTCCTCCTACGCTGTCTCTCCAACCAGTCCTCATTGTCCTCGTCCTCACTGTCGTCTTCGCCAACAACACCGTACCGTCCTTCACCCTCACCAGACCCATGCTCAGGATCCTTGATGAAGTTGTCGATGATCCAGTACTGCAAACCATTCATGACGAGCGGGAAGATGAACATGACGAAAGTGATTTGCAACGCAGTGTTACCCTCTGTCCAGCGGAGTGCCCAGTCGCCGACCCACGCGATCCAGGGCAAGAGGGCGAAGATGGCCAAAACGCAGAGTTTCATGCCAATGAGGCCAAGGAAGTAGATGACTGATTGTTTGAGCCACCAGGTTGCGCGGGGCGGGACACCGTAGTTTCCTGAACGAATTGATTCGGGGGGGTTAGCGAGGGGCGTGTGGGCGAAGGCCGCGTGGAGGATTTTAAGGAGCAGGACGAGGATGGGGATGCCGAGAGTGGTCTGTGAATCATAGTTAGCATATCATTCTTAGCCATTTGGAGAGAGACGTGTTGACGTACATCGATAGCCAGGTTCAGCAGATAGAAGGAGCAGGGGTTTGGCTGCTTGCCTTGCTCGTCTGTTACGGTGTACTGTGGAGACGTGCTCGAAGTAGTTGCTACGTCGAATTTACCAGAAGACAGCATGGACATGAGCACGTTTGCGAGATGCAAGAGCACGGAGCCAAAGACCTGCTTGGATACATCGAAGAACCAGATCTTCATCGGGCGGCGAGGTGACTCTCGTAGTCGCTTGACCGCGAGAGATGAGACGGCAAGGAGCCCAAGCGCACCCTGTACGAAGAGCGCAAAGTCTCCAAGCAAGTTGCACTCGCCTTTGCCGTCCTCGCCGTCCAAAGGGCTTCCCTGAGTGACCGCTGAGCCAGTATGGTCAGGCTCAGCCTTGGTAGCTTGGGTCTCTTGCTGAGCAGCTGGCGAGGACGATGTAGGGCTAGGTCTATCTACGTTATCAGGCGCGGCTTCCTCGTTGGCGGCATTCACGTTATCGTCTGTAACCGACGGGGTTGGAGTCGCCTGCGCAGTCGGTGTAGATACCACGGGTTTCGCAGGTTCTGCCTTGACACCGGCGATGCCCAAAAGCTCCGTCTCGAATACTGCCATATGTCGTCAGATAAGGATTCAGCACATTGCCACACTCATACATACCCAGTGTCGACCCAGCAGGTATTTTAGTTCCCCTAGCTGTGTCTCCATACGCCAATTCCGGTGGTATAATCAGCTTCCTGCCCTCTCCAATGCACATGTCCAATAGACCCTTATCCCATCCAGCGATGACCTGGCCGGCGCCAAGTTTAAACTTGAACGGTGAGCCGCGATCATAGCTAGAGTCAAACTTGCTTCCATCCAGCAGCGTGCCCTTGTAGTGCATCGACAGCAAATCGCCATTTTTCGACTTGCGCGTGCACTCGACAGCTTTGGTGACCTGGATGTCGACGTCTGCTGCAAAGGCCAACGAAGGGAGCAGCGCCAGCGGGAGCGCCAGCAGCGTAGTGAGGGGCCGCATGGCGGCAAGTGGGCGACTCGACGGGACGATGTGTAGGTTGGTGGGTGGAAGTGAAGGCGAAGTTGGAGATGTCTCACCAGGCAGGCAGCGATATGGTACACGAGGGGCGACTCGTGCTACTTAAGCCACGATCAGGCTTGTGGCCGCAGCACGTTCGGACAGGCGTGAAACACCAGGGGTGTGAAGGCGAAGGCACTGGCACGCTTGTGCGAGCCGGGTGATTCTCTAAAATAGTGCAACTCTTGTCAAGGAATGACGGCAAAGCGATTGATGGAGAACTGACGGTCAACGCCAGTGTTGTAGCTGCAGAGTGGCAGCTGTCCAACCCAGGTGCATGGGGGATGGCGGCCAAGTTGCCCATCTCCCGCTTCCCTGTGCCGATCACTCACCCTGATAGCCAAGACGATTTATTTCACCGTGTAATAACCGCATCAGAAATAAAATGCACTACCATTTGCTGCGCCTATTTGTACGCGTTTCCACAAATCGTGGAAACTACGAAGTTGCAAAATAAATTTCTGGTAATACAAAGCGAGTGTCTCGCATTCTGTCATCAAAATGCCTCCAAACGCCACTGATGCTACAAATTGCGGGAAGATAGCCAAACCGCACGCTGGCTTCACAACTATGCTAGACACATGCACGCTATTCATGGTCTTCTGGTCTCTTCAACGGACTCGTTCGAGCCGGACTTTCGATGACCGAAGCTCCAGCTAGTCCAGGTGCGAGTTGGAGACTATGCCGTACGATGCCTTGTCCTGGTCGTACTACAATGCTGCCTCTCCTATCGCGTTCCAACGGATCCACGGTACGGACGGGTGCATACTCTTCCTGATTCTGGAGATGCGCATTCATCCGTGCCTCCTCCCTCATCTTCTTAATCTTCATGTAATTGTATGCCGCGATACTTCCAATCGTGACGACGAGCCCAGTCAGGTTGATGGGCGTAAGCGGATCTTCGAAAACGAGGTTCGCGGTTCCAATGGTAACCACCTCCTTGAAAATGCCGCAGATGCTAAGGGTGACGACCGACGTCCGCTTCAACAGAGCGAACTCGGATGCCGTCATAAGGAAGGCTAGGACGCCTGGGAACAAGAGAATGCCAATGCCGAGACCAGTGCCCTTTGATTCGAAAAGTTGTGAAAGGCCTTCCAAAAGCGCGGAGAAGCCTTCCACGGGTATCGCGAGAATGAATATGCTGATAAACATGACAGGAGCGAGGAAGAAGATGGAGGAAAACGGGTTTGCGGTTGCAGGGTTACGGAGGAGCAGAATTTGGGTCAGGGACCATCGGAAGCCGGATGAGCATGCCGAGACCATGACAAGAATAAAGCCGAGCGTGTGAAAGGCCGTCTCGCCGGCGACCATCATGACGACACCGGCCGTCATTATGAGGATGATGAAGACGAGCCTCCATGAGGGTTGCTCGAGACGGAAGAGGAATGCGAATATGAGCACGAAGCCGAGGGCAGACGATTTGCACATTGCTGTTCATGTTAGCCAAGGTAGCGTTTTGCTGTAGATTAACCCTTACTGAAAAATGTCAACGAGATGAACTTTAGACTCGTGTTGCCCAGGCCGATATCCATACCCGTGGCTGCACCACACGGCCCGAGTCTGCTAAAGTAGAACCACTTGGTCATAAGTGGCTTTTTGGGGTCTATCGGCTCTGCACGTGCGCCAGGGGCGTGTGGGTTGAGGGAGTCGTGTCGCGGTCGCAAGGAGGGTATGAGGAATAGGACCAGCGATGCGAGCGTAAACTGAACGATCATGTGTAGACATGTTGTGAAGAGCGGAAAGGGGAAGATGTTTTTGGCCTCGCCGTCATCCTTGGCCTCCTTGAACATCCATTTGTTGTAGACTGAAATTGAGATGGAGAAGAGATACCTGAGTGTGTGAGTAGGTGGCCAGTAAGGGGTAATTTATATATCTTACCACAAACTAATCAGCACCGAGTTGACCAGCATCGACCTGATGAGGTTCTGGTCGGCCAGTTTCTTCTCCTCCTTTGTGTAGCTGTCATCGGGCACGATCCGCTGGTCCAATAAGGTGTTCCTCCTCTTTCTCCGTCTCCGTCTTCTTCGGTCTCGCTTGGTGAGGCCCGTCTCCTCGTCATCCTCGAGGCCGTCGGCACTCATGTCGTCAAGTTCAAGGTCGTCGCTGTCGCTGCGCGAGTCGGAATCGGAATGGTCAGTGTCCTCTGAGGAGCCGTCTTCGCCCTCTTCGGCAATATGATCCGAAGGACGTTTCCGGTGCTTCTTCTTCAGGTCGTTTTTGGTGGGTAGAGTGGCGCCAGCGAGGGAGGTGGATCTTCGTCGAGCAGCCGGGTGCTCCTCCGTCATTGTAGGGTTGGGCGGGTGGATGAGTTTGGCGAAGTCAGGGCGGAGCGAGACTCGAGGGCCCTCGGTGCTGTCGTGGTTGTCGTCGTCTTCGCCGTCGCCGTCGTCGTCGTCGTCGTCGTCTATGTCGGAGAGAGAGCTGTCAGACGGAAGTGACGGCAGAGTACGAAGAGGAAATTCATTCCCCGGACTAAGCAGCGGGCCTTGTTGTGTAGCGGTGTCTTGCAAATGCAGCCAGCGAGCTATCCGGGCCTCCTCTGAGCCCGTCATGCTCCTCGACGGCGTGCACCTGATTCGTTCTAGCGTGACCGCCAAGGGCAGATGTCGGCCGGTTTCCTGCTTCTCCTTGCAATCTAGCAGCGGGCTAGCATCAGGGGCTTAGCGGGACGGTGCGTCAAGGGGATGCTTCGTTGCGATGATAATGCAGGTACAAAGTCCGCAAGATGTGACGATGCTGTCCTTCTGCCTAAAGGTACGAGCCGAACAATGTTACGCATTGCAACCTGCGACACTTGCCCTGCCTAACCTGCCTGGCCCTGCCACACGTCGTCCCACTGCCCAATCACCACCACGTGTCAATCAAAAGCCACTGAAGCGGGGAAAAGCACCGCGGGAGGGAGATCCACCTCGTGATCGTGATGGCCGACCGTGGCGACAGGTCTAGACGTCCCCACTCTGCTCTGACTCTGCCCCTACTGCACGCGAGCATCGCACATGTAGCGTCATAGTCATTAGGACATCAAGGCATGGCACACTGGTTTCGCCCAGTTTGAACATGTTTCAATTCGCGCTCCACAAAGCGCCGCCGTGAATGCCCAGGATCCATGTCCTACCTCTAAACCTTATCATCAAAATCTGCGCCTACTACGGGGAATACGCCCTGAGAAGCCCCAAATAGAAACGCCGTGTTATGCAACAAGAATAAAAAACAATCCGCATTACGTGCCTACATCGATACCGCTTTTTGCGGCGCCACAGGTGCTGTCGGCAGCAACTCAATCTGCCGAATCAAAAAGGCCTTTTCGTCTATAAACTGCTCGTCTTCTGTTCGGTCGTCGAGAAACGCAGGCAGGAAGCGAAGCAGTCTTTCGCGATTACTAATCAGAATACGTTGCACTGCGACTGATTTATTCGGGTTGGCGACAAAGACCTGCTCGTGTCAGCTTGGTTTGGGCAGGCGCCAGCACAACCACTCACCTTGAAGACGTGAAAGCCTTCGTAGTTGATCATCTTCCTATCATCTCGAAGTAGTTTCATGATAATCTTGAGGTTTTCGCCAGAGTCCACATAAGCCGTCATGACGTTGTAGTTGGCCCGATCGAGTAGTATTTCTCCCAGGAGCTTAATAGACTGTCGCTTAGTCACATAGCTTTCTGACTGCACCAACATCGTGTTGTACTTTGTAAAAAAAGCATCGAAGTTGGTTTGTAGGAACGTGGCCACGAGTGGCTTGTGCCTTGTCAGAATCTCCTGTAAATATGTCAGCCAGGCCCTGACTGGTCTGAAACCAAACATCCTACTCTGAACGTGTTGAACGCATCTGCGCTAACCTCAAAGGCGCCCTTGTCTATCCATCCAAAGAATTTCCAGAACACGCCGTTTCCCGACGCAGGTAGGTCCGGATTCACGCTGCCTAGGTCCAGAGTCTGGCCATCCTCCATGGGCTCGTCGTAGAGAAGCAGCGCGGCGATTGCATCAAACTTGAGCGCCTCGCGCAGGATGCCGCCACATGGCATGGCACTCTCCCGCCGGTCGTAGCCTCTGCATAGCGCAATGATTATGTCTGGCCGGAACGCGACGACATGCTCCAGGACCTGGGGGGTTGCCTGCCCGGCGGCCTTGTACCGGAAAGCCGTCGAGAAGATTACTTGGGCGTCCTTTCGCGATTCGAACGGCAGCTTGTGGATGTTGATGGCCAGGGCGTAGAGTAGGTCTTCGTTCAATATGTTGGTCAGAAGTTGGAACACAGCCTCGGGATTCACTTCTGTGTCTTGGGGGGCATCAGCGCTGTGAACAGGGTGCGCTGAAGAAGCGTCAACAGTACCGGGTGTGCCCTGAAGCCTAATCTTCATTTGCTGTAGGTCTATCGCAAGCCCTTCCTCCACCTGTCACATGTCAGCCATGTCTCCCAGCTGCCTCGTCGTGGTGATTGTGCAGCCGCACCTTGGGGTTGGCCTTGTCTTCTTGTCCGAGCCGCAAGGTGAGCTCTTTAATGGACCGCGTGAGCTCAAGATTATTCTTTTGCTTATTCCGAAAGAGAAACGCCATGGTGTGTCGATTGGCTTATTTGCTGGGGCGGTGATCAATGTGGGACGGCCGTGGTAGGAGGGGCTATAGGTAACTAGAGGCCGGGGCCGGGAAACTGCTATCTGGACGGCGGCGACATGCACGCGACCGCAAGTGGGATATATCCGGGAATCGATGGCCTGTTGAGCGTTTACAGGGGTCAATGCCGTTTGTTGTCCAGCGTGCTTTGCTATGGTGATGCCATTGCTCGTCGGTTACGGAGGGTCAACCCTGCATCACTAGTTCCTGCCCGCCGGCCTTGCTTCCACTTCCACTCGCCCATGAGAATTCCTGACGGATCTACAGAACCTGTATGGCTACGGATAAACGCCTTCACTCTGATAATTGATTTGGATCTGTTTATGTCTTCTCTGCCTAACAATCTTGGAATATCTACTGGGTACAAAACTCGATGCATTCTCTGCAGGCGTCCAATACGCCGCACTCCGGCCACAGAACCATGGAAAGCACCATATTGATGCATGTAAGACCATAATCGGAAATCACCTTCTAACTTTCACCCTTATTGAGCGAAGTAGGCGTGCTCGAGAACCTGGCGTTACTGTTAGCTATGTTTTCGTGTCGGAGATATTGGCTATCACGTTACCCTGGCTGCACTCATTCTCGCACCGCTTTCGTACTTGACCAAGCTGCCAACGAGATCGCGCTCTACTTCAGACAACTTTGGCAGCAACACGGCCCAGTCCTGTGGCGGATACTCGTGGAACTGCACCTTTCCCCAATCGCGGAATCCTGCTGCTTCCTACTCCGGTCAGCAAAATACAGACGTGCCCAAGCTGTACAACTTACCGGCCAAACATCTAGGTTCGGCGTGCCAAGTTTCTTGAACACACTTTGTATCAAGGCCAAATCACTTCCAAGTTCACCAGAATCAAACAGCGTCTCGTGTTCGGGGTTCAGTGCTTCAGCAGCTGTGCACCCGGCAGCCCACATGTCTAAACTGCAGCCGTATTTCTGATTACCAAACAGCAGCTCGGGTGGCCTGTAGCAGGTAGTACCAACATCGGTAATCTTCGAGTCTGCTGGTTCTGAGCCAGTCGTCTCCGATGCCCATGCAATGCCGAAATCCGAGAGATATGCGGGTCCCTCTAGCGACTTGAGAAGAATGTTGGAAGGCTTGATATCCCGATGGATGATTCCTTTACTGTGAATGTAGGCCAGGCCAGTGAACAGGTCTTTCAAGCACGTCTTGATCTGAGCCTTTGACAATTTCTTGTCCCGTAACAAATCACTAAAGTCGTAGCGCAGGAAAGGAAACACCAAGACAAAGTGACTCCCGTCTTCTCGGAAAGTGTCCAGAAGAGGAATTATACGGTCTGACGCTGCGAGGCTGAGAATCTTGGCTTCCCGCTTGGAGTCGTGTGGCGGCTCCATTACCGACGGTGTGGTGATCTTCAGAGCAACCAGCTTACTCTTTGCCGGGGACTCTGCGGGAAAGTAGCCATCATGACCTAGCGCAGGTGCTTTGTAGACGACAGAGAAGAGGCCCTCGCGGTGGTAGACGGCATTGTGGTATTTCCCAATGGGCTTTCCTGCTGGCGTGGGAACATAGTCCTCATCCTAGGGCGGAGGTCAGTGGGCGTCAACTGACGTACGGCGTATTCTCTGACCTCTGACGTGGGGAATTCGAGTGAAGGCCTGGGAAAGCTCCATGTCTTCTCATTGCAAAGTCTCTCGTAATCTCCCTGCACACTTGTTATGCCTGCGGGTTGACATTGTTGGAGCCGGTGTTTACCAGAGATTGGGCTTCGCCGTAAATGGCTGCCTCAGCTTTAGTAGCCTCAATTCGAGCATCGGTCATGGACAACGATGGGTCCGCTGACTGGTAGGCTGAAGTTCTGCCACGCGGTTAGACTAGCAAAAATCAAGAATGTTTCAGCCACTGGTATGAATTCAAGCTTCTTACCAGGTGTTCCTAGAACGGCAATGTAGATAGTACGGTACTTGCATTTGAGAGACGGCCGACAGGCGCGCAGAGAAGGCGAGGCTCGACCGCCAATCCGAGGAGGCCATGTTGCAATTCACTTGGATGCAGCTTTTCAGAATAGGGATCACGCATCAGAGGTGTTGGGCATCGGGGCGTGCACGTGGTGTCGAGACCGTGTGAGCACGTGAGTGAGCCCGAATCAGGTACCGACACTACCCAAGTCCAGTCCCCCGGTACCGGCAGTGGACATGCAGGCTATCCTGCTCAAGCTAAAATATTCGTATTCATGCGATCGCTTGAGGCGTTCTGACGTGTCTCAAGGGCTTCTCCCAAGCTTCCAGCAGGGCCAGGGATGTGGTCTCGGGCGTGAATCGTTACCAAGGTTACGTCAGTCCCGGGCACAACCGCCGCGTTGTCCTAGGCCGCTTTGGAAGACACCCAAGCCACCACTGACAGCGCAGTCACGACCGACAAGCTCCACGACACTTGACACGCCCGCTGAGCATCCGCTCTGTATGTGAATATTACAAAATAGCCACGCTGAGGCTGTGCGCCTGCCTACCAAATCCACGCCATGGAGCTCCAACGCAAAGAATACCCGGCAATGCTGGTGAGGCTTGTCCAACCTGAATGTCTCTGCCGTCCACTCACTCCGATTACAGACGTCGCTCTCTCCCGGCCAGGCCGTGACAGTGCTCGACAGTCGCATGCGACATGTCGGCCAGCTAAACAACCACATTGCCGACTGGTTGCAGGTCCGTCCATGGCAGCGAGTGCGCATTCATATCGAGGCTCACCAATGCGCAGGAACGCCGTCGCGTAGAAGAACAATATGTCGCCGGTCTACGAAAGCTCGCAAACAAACACCCACCGGACGAATCCTCCGATCTCGGGTACATGTCATCCCATGGTTTTTCAGGCGCATTGACTGACTTGGGGCAGCATATTCACCACGCCGTGGCAGAAGATCGTCAGCGCAACCGAGGCCGTCGCCCACTCGCATGCGCACCTCGCATCCCGGATAGAAGCCGACGTCGAACGCCCGCTGCGCGACTTCGCCGTGAACAACCGCGAAATACAGGCCATGGGAAACATTCAAGGAAACCTTACGGCAATTGCAAAGGACATAGACAATGCGCAGAAGAAGCAAGCCAAACTTCGGGATAAGGGATCGAAGGCCAAAGCGTCTGCCGTAGCCGATGCCGTTCAGGACATAGAAAAGGCCGAGCTTCAATGGGACTCGCAAGCACCCTACGTATTTGAACAACTCCAAGCCATTGACGAGACCCGGCTCAACCACCTCCGCGACGTACTCACTCAATTACAAACACTCGAAGTAGACCAGGTAGAGCGCAGTCGGGCCACGACCGAGGACGCGCTGAACGCTATGCTCAACATCGAAACCGCCGACGAGATACAGACGTGGTCACTGAGGATGCGGAGTGGGGAAGCTCCTCCACCCTCGCGGAAGCTGAGCAGCACTGGTACCACTCCTTCGAGAGGTCTGGCCCCGCCACCGATACCAGGTCCAGGCTCGCCTACTGCACCAGATGATAATGGGAGTCTGAAGAGCGCAAACGTGCCGGAGAAACATAGCTCGAACCCCCTCAAGCGACTTGGGACGGTATTAGGTCGACGGAAAAGCGCGCACCCTTACGGACGGACCGCATCTCCGGAACGAACCTCGTCGTCAAACTTGGGGTCGGCTTTCGGTGGTTTTGGCAAGGGCAAGTCCAAGGATCGCGAAAACCAAACCTCATCCCTGAGTTCCACCGCAGAACGCCCGACTTCACCTCTGAGACGCCTTTCCCAACGACCCAGTATTTCTCAGAGATCAGACTCCCCGAGCCTCACTCGCCAGCCCAGCACAGATGGCGGCCCAAATGGTACCATACCTGAGTCTTCTACCGAGACAGAGACTCCAAACCCTGTAAATGGAACCGCACCCGTGCAAGAATCAATACCTGAACTCAAAGAGTCCTTGTCTCCACCCCCGATTGTGGAGACGCAACCAGAACCCGAAAAGGATGCCGAGGGCTTTTCTGTACCACCATCTGCGATTGATGCTATTACAGAAGCGGAAAGAGAGGCAGGATAGTAAGGGTCCCTTGCGCCTGTAAACTTTGACTTGCTAACCAGGAGTAGCGCAAATAGCGAGGGAGGTTCACAGCCTCAGTTCAAGCTTGACATTCGAAATGCACCTATCCAGGAAGAGGATGGTGATGCCGACGCGGCTACCGCCAACCTGGTCAACACTCTGCGCGCAGTATGTTGTACGCAACCCCAAGATACACAGATGCTAACTGAGAACAGCAAGCTGCACAGCCCAAGCGTTCGAGTACGTTGCGTGGTCGCCGCGATGTTCGTAACACGATATTCGTGCCAAACCCCGCAATGCCAGACCTCCAAAGTATTGGGGAAGTGCCTCCACTTCCAACCGATGAATCCGGCCTAGCCTCTGGTCCTGGATCCGCAACTTTCCCTACACCTGTACCTGCCCTGCCTCAGCAACCTGTCTCTCCCGCTTACAAGCCTCCACATCGATCATTATTGTCAGAAGACCATGCTACGTCAGACACACAATCGATCCGGTCGGGCCGATCGCTAAGTAGCTCCGCTAGCACTACGGTTAAGCATCCGGACCTGCATGAACCAGGGCTCAACGCGTCACTAGTGGAGACTGTCAGCGCTTGGTTCGAACAGGGCAACGTCACAAAAGCAATGGTTATCGGTCAAGTTGCGCTTGCATACAATCCTATCGACATCTCTGCCCCCTTTGGCACAGAAAGTATACGCCTGGAGAACTTTTCCGTTCTCGAAAAGGTAGCACCCAACCCGGCCTTCATTGAACAGTCGGCAGACAGCCCAGGTACCTACACTGTGGACCTGTCCAAGATTATGAAGACATCGGTCGCCTTCCATTACCAGCTGCACATTGAAGACAGCAACATAGGTTCCCTTCCACCCATCATCCTGGCACCAGCATGGAAGTCGGAACCCACACAAACCTCTGCCATCCTCCACTACTCACTCAACCCCCGATTCGAACTTGGTGGCGCAACAAGCATCACCATTCGCAACCTTGTTCTCGTCATCCGCCTGGAACCAGGATCAAAAGCATTATCCTGCCAGTCCAAGCCCACTGGCACCTTCTCCCGCGACAAGGGCCTCATCTACTGGCGCCTCGGCGACGTAACCCTCTTTAAAGACTCAGCTCCTCAGACCCTCCGCGCCCGCTTCGTAACTGACGGCCAGGCTAACCCCGGAAACACGGAAGCGCGGTGGGAGATTAGTGACGAGCAATCTCTGTCGCTGGGCAGTGGTCTCGGCGTGAGCATGAGCACGTCACTCACCGCCAAGAAAGATGAAGTAGAAGATGACCCCTTTGCTGACATTGACGAGACGGCACCGCCCACCCCGACTATTGGCTGGAAGCCTGTGGCTGCTGTGAAGAAGATATCCAGTGGGACGTATCTGGGTGTTTGATAATGTCTAGTTGAGGAGTCTTCGTAGCAACCAACCAACCAACCTTTTTTTGGATACAAGGGGGAAGTTGTTGCGGCCACGGTGGAAGTTGATGGATTTATCAAAGATGGCTTGATATCTTAATTACTTACCTACCTATCTCTCCTATATATCGATTTTCATGTGTGTTGTCTGTCTATCTTCTATGTTTGTGGGACGGGTTTCTCTTTTTTCTTTCCCTTGTTGACATAGCTTAATATCAAACCAGGTTTCTTGTAAACCTGTGTGATTCCCCCACTTTTGGTTCTGTTTGTTGTTGTTCGCTTTGTATATAGCATAGCTCTTTGTAGTTGAATGAAGATGTGTGTGCCTTCTTTTGGGGTACACACCGAGCATGGCTATGTTGTACTGGAACTAGGTGATGTTAAGACGCTTTTGAACTGTACCATGGTAGTTGCCAGGGTGCCACGTTGCATGCGCGTTTTCAAGTGTGAGAACCTTTGTAGTTCTCAGGATAGGTAGTAGGATACCTTCAGAGCATTGTCATGGTAGTTATCAGGGTGTCACTTTGCACTTACATATGCAGAATGCCAGTACCCCTGTAGTTGTCAGGGTGAGCGCGGGGACAGGTTCATAATGGCACCGTGGTATTTCAAGGTGTCACTTTGGACAACTGGTCAAAGAATTCCAATGCTGTGAGGATGTTTACGGTAGTTGCCTGGCCATCACTTTGCATGCGCATCCGCAGGGTTACAGGACCACTGTAGCTGCCAGGATAGGCGCTGGGATATCTTCAGAACGGCATCATGGTAGTTGTCAGGCTATCACTTTGAGCGGCTGGTCCAAGGAGATCAATACGTAAGAATACTGACGGTAGTTGTCAGGCCAATACTTTGCATACGTATTCGTAAGATCCAGTACCTTGGTAGCTGCCAGGGCGAGTACTAGGACACCTTCAGAACGATCTTATCGTAGTTGCCAGACCATCACTTCACACTCGCATACGCAAGAAAACAGTACTACTGTAGTTGCCCGGCTCAACATGCTACCCATTCCCAGGCGGTACTTCGGGTGCCATCCCGGGACATTCTCGGATGTGGGGCTATGAGATAATGCGTTCAGGGAAGGAAGTCGCCGCGTAAGTCCGAAAGGCCGTGATCAAGGCAGTCACTGCGCCTTTCCAAGTGCTCGGTCAGGAGGTGCCGATGTCTGTGTGGTAGTCGCCGTAAATTTTGGGACAATGGTACTGCAGTCCTCACGGTACAACTTCGGGCGCCTGTTTGGGGGGAGTACGATGTGGTGAGGGTAGTTGCAGTTCGGTTGGGGTATGTGCTGTGGAATGATTGTGCTGGTGCTGTGGACATGACGCCATCATACTCACACGTCATGGATAGGGTGAGGAAGTGGCTGGGGCTTGGTATACGCCAGAGTGGGTCGTGAGGTGTGAGGTTGGAAGGCAAGGGCGGTGTGAAGGTAGCCGCGGTGTGTAATTTCACATCTTCATTGTAGCCATCATAGTCGAACTCAAGGTATATTTTTAGACGTCCCTTGGTCGCTGTATTCGCTAGGGTGTGTTAAGGGCTTTACATTCTAGGAGGTAGTAATCCTATAAGGGGCGTTATAATATGTACTATCATCTCAAGTGTAGCCATTATAGTCACACTTTGGGATGCATGTTTGGAAGTCGCTGGGTCAATGTATCTACCATAGTGTGTCAAGAGATATGTGTTTAGAAGTGGCTGCGGTAATGTATCTATCATAGTGTGTCAACAGGTATGTGTTCGGAAGTCACTGGGTTGATGTATCCACTATAGTGTGTCAACAGGTACGTGTTTGGAAGATAACGACGCTTTGAAGGATGTCACACTTCTCTCACTATGTGGGTGTTCTTTCCACTGTAGTGAATGAGCAGGAACATAGTACTAGCGTAGAATGTAAGGGTATAGTATATATAGCATGCGTAGGCCCATTTCTATGGTATTATTTACTTTCACTTAAGACTAATATGCTTACTTACACCCAACACATCGTTTTTTGGGGGGTGAGTTTTGGGGGGTCGGTTCGCTTCCCGTACGGTCACTACATCATAGCGATCACCTCACTTCGCTACCCAGTACCACAACAACCAATACTTGGATTATATAAAAAGCGGACCTCACCAGCGGCTACGAATACATATCCTCGTCTTCCACCGCAGCTGCCTTCCAGTCCATACCCTCTCGTCTTCCACATCAACTACCTTGCAGTCACGACAATCAGACTCCGCAACAATCAATCGATCGACATGATTGATTCCTATATAGGTTAAAGAGTTACTTTATTAGGCAGCCTTTAACCTAGATAGGAATCAATCATGCCGATCCGATTGATTGTTGCGGAGTCTGACGACAATGAACATAGCCATGTTACCACCAACACAATTTTATCCATCGTCAGACTTCGTACACAACTACTGGCAAGTACCATACAATATCTTGTGGCTGCTTTGGCATTTGTGGCTCCAGTTGCCAGACCTTCACATCATCGCGCTCCTTTGCCTTCCACCTTTGCTCTTCTGGGTTTTTATAAGTCCGCTTCAATGTGGTTTCCCCCAAGCTTACGCATCATGCGACTGGCGATACTGGTCAGACTCCTCTGAGGCACGAAACGTGTCGTCTTCCTGTCCGATCGACAAACATCTTTTCGAGACACCTACACAGCCTGTATGCCTGATGGCATACGCCATCTTGAGCCTTGTCTTGGTTTTCTCTCTCATCGCATGCCGCAGTTGTCCACGAAGTCTCCTAAAAGTATCGTTCTGGCTTCAGTTCCTCGTCACCGTCGCCATCCGTTGCCTTTCCAGCTTTTCCGGTCTCACTACACAGCTTGGCTGGTCAGCTCTGATCTGGAATTCCAACTCTATAGGCAAATTTGTCTGGCTATGGATAATGGTTGAAGCCCCCTTTTGGAATTGGACGTACCTAGGCTTCTACGAAGACTACTACTTCCAGGAAGGCACTCGCACAGTGTATGATCAAGTCGGACGACCGGTCTGGATCTTTATATCGGAAAAGACTGGCAAGAAGAACGAAGACACTTCGTACCACCCTTACGGGTCCATCTTCCGCCTGTGGCGCGATATCGCCGTTAGACTGTCCTACTACCATGTCATCGACAACACCATCCATGTGCTTTGGTTTCGATACTTCAACACCGAGGCCCCATACACAACGTATCTCAACAACTCAGAGCTCCTGACCATGGTTCTCCTCACAACATTAGTCACATACACATACGCACGTATGCACACGCATGTTCATTTCGACCATGATGATGAGGAAAGCGGCCTTCTCGTCGACATTAAAAGCTCGATCCCTTCACCCATACATTTGGCTTTGCGCGACCTCTTTAGCTCTGTGCCATGGCAGCATGACTTCCGCGCTCCCTCAGCGGTACGCTATGGGTGCATGGTTGTTTTCGGTGTGTTGGCAACAGGTGCCACTGCGACCTGGCATATCCCAGATTTCCCAATGTACTGGTCAGTTCTCGCAGAATTTATGTTTGTTGGTTGGTTACGTTCGTTTCGACATGTAGAAGCAGGGATGAAAAGGGTGCGTGAAGAAAAACATCGGAGGAAAGCAGGGGGCATATGCGAGGAAAAGGGTCAGCAGAGGGCGACACCACCAGATGAATCATGGTAGCTATGAAGCACTGATATGGGCGTCTGTTTGAAGACTTTCCGATATGCCTCTTCAAGGCGGTACTTAGGTAAAATCCTAAGACAGGCTGGCATACATAGCGAGGAGCCAATGGGCCCCGTATGTAGCTTAGTCACCTCCTTCTAGGTATTCAGTTCAAGGAGAGTAACCATCTTCAATGACTTTAGCATTCCATAACAAACTGAATCATGACTTCCTTCTTGTGCTCTTCCCTGAGAAATTTTCGAGTAAATCTCATCCGAAACACCCAAGTTATCCAGTGGTTATGTCACCACTATTCCAGCAACCTTGGATACCTCCACCCTCAGACCCAAGAAGCTCAACCATATGCTCCATCGCTCAACTCCACATTCACTCAACTATCACACTCTAATCCCATAGACGTCTGAGGCCAACAAATCTTATGCTATCACTGCATAGCATATACGTTCTAGTGCACCCAACCTCCTAAAACCATACAGAACAGCATGCTAGTATCCATGGACTATTACCTCATACCTTCTGTGGCCCAATATCTTGTGAATGAGCACGATCCATGGGTTGTGGGGCGAGGTACGTAAGGCAAGGTAGTGATTGGCTGAGAAAGTAAAGTAGGGAACAAGTTCGGTAGAGAAGAAAATAGGTCAATAATCGCTCGGTAAGGATTGCGTCAGATTGGGTTGTCGTGGTTATTGAACTCGGTACGCTAAACTTGGACACTGAGGACACAGGATATCCCCACGCATATGAAATGGATGTATTGGAAGTTGCTGATGAATATAGGGATAGATTTGATGGTTCATAGTGGAGAGTGGGTAGAGAAGGTTTTTTAGTTCGAGGATTACACACAACGTCGAGCACACTTTGGGAATGTGATAATGCGCATGCTAGGGCGGGATTAGAGTGATTTGCAAAATCACTAATTAACACACATCAATTCATAAGTTTGAGATAAATTAGATGCAAGGTAGCAAATTCAAACTGTATTATTGTATCACTGCACACTGTGACTTGTACCTGAACCCTGTCAAAAATCGTGCGGTCAAAACATGGTACCGACTTTGGTGCCATGGTAGACTCGACCTGAGGCACCCAAAACTACCACACCCAAAAACTTCCAAAACATTACATCGACGCAGCAAGTTCGCGATCGAAGAGAACCCCTAGCCTGAAGCCCTTCAACTATGTCATACCATGTATCACGGCACTACTGTTCTTGAATGCAGACTACGAGCTTCACGAGACCGGGCACATGCACGATGAATCACTCTAGAGAGAAGGGTTGCGAAGAAAAAGAGACGAGGACCTTGGAGATGGAAATTTTGACTGGAGAAAACTGACAGCAGAATGAAACACACGCAGAGATATACCTACGCTCATGCATGGGCATGTACCATGGAAAATGCTACGCAAATCGCAGTGGACATCTTACCGATTCTTCTGAGCAGCGAGAGGTTGACAAGGAAACAAGCTGAGATAAGGTCTGTAGTGAGGAGCGCACGGCAATCCTGCGACGAGAACTTCGAACTTGCTGAAACATCATGACTGCACGGCTGGAACAAAGAAGTTGTGTATTAATACGTATATTCCAAAAGCTATGGTGTTATGAGTAAACTTACATTGAACATGAAAAGAAGTCCATCCCAGGCTCGCTATTTCCAAAGGCACTCAAAGAGCATATATCCAGTGAATAGTGAGTGAGCAAAGAAGGTTGTCGAATCCGCAAACTGGTCTCTCTACTCATACTCCTTGCTCTTTGCAAGCGCCCATAAGCTGTCAAGCTTGGCTCGGCCAAGAGTCTCGCGGGCTTCGCCAGCAGTCTCGCAAACTCTCGAACCCCACTTTCGGAAAGAGCGTTCTTTGATTTCGCCCTCGAAGATGAGGATACACTTGTTGGATGAATGGTCTTTCACATCTCCAGTGTCAGTGACTGGCCTCAGCCATTGAGGGTCTGAAGCTTGCTTCTCGGCCTGACTCTCAGTAGGCGGGCCATTCTCATGCCACTTGATCCGGTGGAGCATGAGCTTCTTGTATTTGTTGATTGCGTATGCACCTCCCTCCACCAAAACTAGATTGAGTGTTGGATTAAAGAGTGTGATACCGGTAAGAGCATGCTCCTTTGCGTTGTTGTCAATCTGGAAGCGATGTTTGCCGTAAGCAAGTGTGTTGATTTTGAACACACACATGTAGAGACCCTTCTGTGCGTCTTTCTCCTGATTGGCAGCAAGTTTGGCTTGTTTCTCTTCTTTAGTCAACTTCCGTTCCTCGTTCGCATTGACATGGTCATCATGACGCTGCTGGATCTGTCCCTCGACAAGCATCTCCACGGCGGTAGGATCTGCGATGGCTTGTTCACCCATGACACGCATCATGTTTCCGCGCTTGACCTTGGGTGGCGGAGGTGGCTCGAGACCGAGACGGATCTTGGCTTGGTGCTCCTTGAGGTCGGCCGCGCGGCGCATCCTTCGCAACTTCTGCTGTTCCTTGGTAGTGAGGTACATGGGCTTGACTTGGACTAGGCGCTGGTCTTGAGGTGCTTTGAGCAGAGGCGGATGCTGGACGTAGAGAGTGATGATGGAATCGTCAGTCTCGATCTTGACCTTGGAGGGGTCATCCATGCAATTGTAGTTGGGCTCAGCCAGTATTCCCTCATCCCACCACTCAATCTCCGGAGGTGCCTGTACTAAGAAACCACGTTCGCTGTTCTCATCGAGACCGGCACGGCGGGCCTGGATGGCAAGCGTCTTCTTGATTTGTTCTAGTCGGCGTTGGGCGCGCAACTTGGAGGCCTGGTCGAGGTATTTTCCGTGCTCGTTAAAGGCCAGAACGCGGGGTCCTCTCTTCTTAGCAAGAGCGGCGGTCTTTGGGTCGAAGTAGGGATTCTCAATCTCCTCGTCGTTTTGCTTCTGCTTGAGTGTGGCGTCTTTGGGCTTCGTATCGACTATAGGCGTCTCGGAACGGCGATTACCCAGCGTTGTCGCGAAGCGTGGGCCGGTGGAATCAGGAGTTGGAGCTTTGGCGGCGCCTGCCGAGTTCGCCTTCATGGCCTCAATCTTAGCCTTCATAGCCGCCATCCGGTCTTGGACAGAGCTGCTCGCGCCAGCTGGCGGCAGAGTGGGCGTCGCAGGGGCTGTCGGTTTCGCGAAACGAGCTGCGATCTCAGCGGCCTTTGCCTTTGCTTTGGCCTTTGCTGCTTCAACGGCATCTGATGCCTTCGGGCGCTTGGCATCCCCGTTTGGGCCCTGCCCCTCTGGATAAGGACGCTTCTCCGCCATGGTCATGATGAGTTGCGGTGGTGTCGTTGTCGGCCGGTCGTGTGATGCGGGTTTGGGTGCGGGAGTCCGAAATGAGGATACGTTGGCGCAATGGCGTCGTAGAATCTCCTCGCAAGCCTGGTCCACTTGACTGTATGCGCTTCGAAGTAACGGCGCCCGTAGATATGCGCAATGTCGAGTTGAGTGGGGTGTGGTGATGATGAAAGCGAGAGTAACGCGAAATCCACGCTGCTGCCTGTCTAGCGGCTTGGCGCATGCCGGCTAAACCCTGGTAGAACTTTTTTGGTCCCGAAAAAACTCCCCGCAAGATCTCGCGCTGTTACTGCGAAAACATCTAAACGCCTTTGCGCGCGGATTGCTTCGGAAAAAAGGCGCAACAGTCCAGCAGGCGTCACTATGAACACTCATCAGCCAACATCCTCGGCCATTAATGGCGTCGAGTTTGGCTTTCTCACCACAAAAGACATCAAGGCGCTCTCGGTGAAGCGTATATCGATCCCGACCACATTCGATAGCATCAATCACCCAGTGCCTGGTGGTTTACACGACCCTGCTCTGGGCGCATTCCTGGACAATCCGTGAGCTTAATCGAGGCATGAAAGCGCCCATGACTCTGCTGACCAACTTCAAGATGCGCAACATGCGGCCTCACCACCTTCTTAGGTTGTCCTGGCCACTGCGGTCATATCGAGCTTCCTGTACCCGTATACCACCTCACCTTTATGGACCAACTGTTGCGACTACTCCGCGGTACATGCGCATACTGCCATCACACCAAGCTTGCCCGCACAACCATTAACGAGTTCGTCTCAAAGCTGCGCCTCATAAGATGTGGCCTCGTACAGGAAGCAAACGACATGCACCTGCATATCACCCACGGGAAGGGCAAGACGAACGACTTAGATGCCCCCGAATCAGACGACGAAGATGATGACGACAATGACGACATCATCACACAGCGTAACAACTATGTGAAACGGTGTATGAAGTACGCGGGCATCTCAAAGCATGAGGCAAGAACAGCACGTGAAAAGAATGAGACTATTTCCGACGCGCGGCGGCAAGTGGTCAAGGATTTCTACGCAGAGCTGGTCAAGCACAAGAGCTGCAGAAACTGCCAGGGCATCAGTCCATCGTACCGAAAGGATCGCGGAATCAAGATTTTCCGGAAAGCCTTGAGCCAGAAAGATAAAGCGAAAATGGCCCAGGCGGAGAAGCGCATCCAGAGCCCTCTGGATATTCTCGCTCGTCGGGAGGCAAAAGCAAAGAAGCAGCACGTACATGCTGATGAGGGTGTGGCAGACCTCGATCCCGTCTCGGAAGAGGATGAAGACATGGATATAGATATGCAGCAAGCCGATGGGTCACTCGTTGCAACTGAGTCGCGTATGGCACGAAGGACGAAGCCCGCAACCGAAGAATCGGAAAATGCACAGGAGTACGTGAGCGCAGCAGAAGTAAAGGCAACCATGACATTGCTCTTCGAGAACGAGTCTGAGATGATGCGAATGCTTTACAGCCCCTACGGGTCAAAGTCCCTTGTCGATGTGAGCCCCGATATGTTCTTCACTCAGGCCATCATTGTTCCGCCCAACAAGTACAGGCCAGAAGACGGGACAGGCGAAACCATTACCGAATCCCCCAAGAACAAGCCCTACAAGAGCATTATCGAAGCCTGCGAGACCATCAACCAGATCAGCCACGAAATGCGGGGTCGGCCTAATGAAACTGGCTACCGGCAACGGAACTTTGACGATATGCAGACCCAGTTTGTGAACCTACAGGGAGTTGTCAATGCGCTTATCGACTGCGACGCCAACCCTGTCCAAGGTCGCGCTGGAGCCGTGAATACGGATGGTATCAAGCAGGCTCTCGAGAAGAAGGAGGGATTGTTCCGTAAAAACATGATGGGAAAGCGAGTCAACTTCGCCGCGCGCAGTGTCATTTCGCCTGACCCAAACATCGAGACCAACGAGATCGGTGTCCCTCCTGTATTCGCCAAGAAACTGACGTATCCCGAGCCTGTTACGAACCACAACTTTTACGACCTCAAAGAAGCTGTCCTCAATGGTCCCGACAAATGGCCCGGTGCGCATGCCATCGAGAACGAATTTGGGCAGATCATTGCACTAAGGAAGAAGACCTACGATGAGCGACTAGCCTTGGCCAACCAGCTGCTGGCACCCACCAATTCATACTCAAACGGGGCCAGGAACAAGAAGGTGCATCGTCACCTAAACAATGGCGATGTTGTAATCATGAATCGACAACCGACACTGCATAAGCCGTCCATGATGGCGCATCGAGCTCGTGTCCTACCCGGAGAGAAGACCATTCGCATGCATTACGCCAACTGTAATACCTACAACGCTGACTTTGATGGAGACGAGATGAACATGCATTTCCCCCAGAACGAGCTTGCCCGGGCTGAGGCCATGACTATAGCCGATACTGACCATCAGTACTTGTCTGCAACTGCTGGAAAGCCCTTGCGTGGTCTCATTCAGGATCATATTTCCATGGGAGTCTCGATCTCGAACAAGGATACCTTCTTCACTAGGGAAGAGTACCATCAGCTACTCTACTCTTCTTTACGACCTGAGGAGGGACACACAACTTCGGGCAGACTAGAGACTGTCAGCCCCGCTGTGTTGAAGCCTCGGCCGATGTGGACGGGTAAACAGATCATTACCACCATTCTGAAGAACATCAAACCTGCAGAATATCAAGGATTAACACTCACATCCAAGTCATCTACAAATGGAAAACTCTGGGGTGTGCACAGCGAAGAGCAAATTGTCATCGTCAAAGATGGCCATCTACTATCCGGTATCATGGACAAGGGCCAGATCGGACCTGCCGCCGGTGGTTTGATCAACGGCATTTATGAGGCTTACGGTGAGACCATAGCTGGTCGCGCTCTCAGTATCATCGGGCGTTTGCTTACCAAGATGCTCCATATGCGTGCCTTTTCTTGTGGAGTTGAGGATCTCATCCTTACTGAAGAGGGCGACAGGGCAAGACTGGAAGAGCTTCGAAAAGCGGAAAAGCTTGGCTTCGAAATCGCCTCCAAGTATGTCACTCTGGACGCGGAGAAAATCGATCCTACCAACCCGGAACTTCGGCGACGACTTGAAGCGGTCTTGCGTGACGACACCAAGCAGCATGGTCTCGATCTGCTCACGAATACTGCGAACAGCAAGATCTCTTCAGCAGTTACAGCAGCCGTACTTCCCGACAAGCTCATCAAAAAATTCCCGAAGAACCAAATGCAGGCCATGACAGGTTCTGGTGCAAAGGGTAGTATGGTTAACGCCAATCAAATCTCATGTAACCTTGGTCAGCAAGTTCTGGAAGGACGAAGAGTTCCGGTCATGATTAGCGGTAAAACATTGCCTTGCTTCAAGCCCTTCGAAACGAGTGTACGAGCTGGTGGCTACATCGTAAACCGTTTCTTGACCGGTATCCGACCCCAGGAGTACTACTTTCATATGATGGCTGGTAGAGAAGGTCTCATTGACACCGCTGTCAAGACTTCGCGCTCCGGTTACTTGCAGAGATGTATAATCAAGGGCATGGAGGGTCTTCGCGTCGAGTACGATACGTCTGTCCGAGATGCCGATGGGACTATGGTCCAGTTCCTCTACGGTGAGGACGGCCTCGATACGACAAAGCAGAAGTACCTCAATGACTTCAAGTTTCAAGCGCAGAACTTCTATTCACTGGCTCAAACTCTCCACACGGCAGAAGCCTACCCACGGGTCGCTAGCGCTGAAGCCGTGGAACACAACAAGAAGGCGGCAAAGAAGGCTAGGAAAGGGGATGTCACGTCCATGGATCCTGCTACAGCGGTGTACACACCTTCGCGGCACAGCGGTAGTACATCCGAATTGTTCTTGCAAGCCAAGCGCGAGGTAAGTCTCTTGGTCCTCCGACTATTTTCAACGTGCTAATCGTTCGTAGTACTGCGACACAAACCCCGATAAGCTGCTCAAGCTCAAGAAACAAGATCCAGAAGGAGAGATTCTCAAGCGAACTTTCGAACAGATGCTGGATCTCAAGTATCTCCGATCTCTTGTGGAGCCCGGTGAAGCTGTCGGTGTCGTAGCTGGCCAATCTATTGGTGAGCCCTCAACACAGATGACACTCAACACCTTCCATTTGGCTGGTCATTCGGCAAAGAACGTCACACTTGGTATTCCACGTCTGCGAGAAATTGTTATGACTGCTAGTGCAAACATCTCCACTCCGTCGATGCAATTGTACCCACATCCCGAGCTATCCAAGGAGGAGTGCGAGAAGTTCGCCAAGAGTATCACACGCCTGCCGCTCTCAGCTGTGCTAGATAAGGTCACTGTCACGGAAACTTTCGGCACGGGCACCCATTATTCACAGGCGAGAAGCTACAAGATTCGTCTTGATTTCTATCCGATGAATGAATACACTAAGGAGTACGCCATCAAAGTCCGCGATGTCGCCGAGTCGATTGAGAAGAAGTTCTGCCCACGCTTGCACAAGGAGATCCGTAAGGACCTGAAGAAGAAAGGTGAAAACAAATCGTTATCTACGGCGAACTCAGCTAGTGTACCCAACATTGGCCAGACCGCCGGTAGGAGCGGTGAGCAGACAGTCGACGAAGATGAGGATAGTTTCCCAGCTGGTCTAGAAGGCGGCTCTGCAGATGAGGACAGCGACGATGGTGAAGGCGATAACGACACCACTCAGGCCAAGGCCCGAAATAGACGAGGGGACAGTGTATCCTATGAAGAGCCAGAGGAGGAGGAACAGGCTGCCACCGCCGAGCTCGACAAGGAAGATCAAATCAGTGAAGACGAGACCTACGGCGGCAGCCCCAAACCTTCACGCGCCACTTCACCCAACACAGATGCAGACGATGACGACGAGGATGAGGACGATGACGAACAAATGGTCGACCCCACCAACGAACCCTCCGAAATCCGACATGAACGCATCTGCAAAGACAACGCCGACATCTTCGGCTTCAAGTTCGACGACCGCAAGGGTGCTTTCTGCGAGATCACCTTTGAATTCTCCGCCGCCAAACCCAAGCTGCTCATGCTTCACCACGTCGAAGAGGCCGCAAACTTCGCCACTATCCATGTCATCCCCGGCATCACAGCCGCCCAATTCTCGGCAAAGTCCAAGGATGTGCCCGAAAACGTTATCAACACCGAGGGCTCCAACCTCATCGCCATGCGCGAATACGGTCACATCATCGACGTGAATCGCACCCTCACCAACGACATCGCAGCCATGCTCAGAATCTACGGTGTAGAAGCCGGTCGTGCAACTATCGTCCGCGAAATGCACAACGTCTTCTCTGGTCACGGTATCAGCGTCGACCACCGCCATCTCAACCTCATTGCCGATACTATGACAAAGGGTGGTGGTTTCACGCCTTTCAGCCGCATCGGTCTCAAGGGTAACGTCAGTCCGTTTATGAAGATGAGTTTCGAGACTACGGTTGGTTTCCTAAAGGATGCAGTCCTCGAGCGCGATTGGGATGAGCTTAAGAACCCCAGTGCGCGTATTGTGGTGGGTAGATTGGGTGGTATTGGTACGGGTGCGTTTGACGTGCTTGCACCTGTCAAGATTAGGGATCCGCTCAAGGAGCAGGTCGAGGAGGTCGAACGTGTGGTTGTTGGTGATCTAGGTGGAAAGCGTGACTCCGACTCTGAGTCTGAGTCTGAACCTGAAGAAGAGGAGGAAGAGGAAGAGGGTGGAGACGAAGATATTCAGATGCAGGATGTAGATATGGAGGATGCGGATGCGGGGGCTGAGGAGGAACCTGAACCAGTGCAGGAGCTGCCGCCGCCGAAGAAGAAGAAGAGCAAGAAGCACGGTCGCTAATCGTTCTCGTCCAGCTCGCTGATATCGCGCGCTAATAAGTGGTGTTTGGGGCGTTCAAAAAAGAAGGCATTGTGGTCGTATAGTAATGTATGTAGTTTAGCAATTGACAATTTCGAACGAATTTTTTTTCAGATTGTTATAGCAAGTAGATTCATTGATGTTCTTTCCATACGTGCCTCGTGTGTGGCCAGCTTCGTGATCTATGAGGAGGAAAGAAAAGGTTCTGCGAGAACGACATGTAGTGATTAACATGAACACCAGCAGTACCAAGTGGAAAAAGCTCATATGAGCAGCTAGGATCTGCGGGACGATATGAGGTGACTTGTTGTTGAAACAATGCAGGGTGTCCAAATCCAGCGATGACCTGATACTTGAAGTAAGGTAGGTAGACATTGAGAGTTGATTCCCAAATTTCCAAGCCGCGGGATCAGAGACAAGCAATCGGTCCTCAGATGAGGTTTTGCCGGTTTCGAAATGAGAGAACCTGGGCGAGGGTAATTCAATCCATCTTATCGTGATGACATCCAGGCGCGTGCGACTTCCTTATCGGAAAGATGTGGTTCCGATTCGGACTCTCGGTCATGTAGAAACATATGGAGTTATGAGTTTATTTCTCGTGCTAAGAATGCGGTGATACTATTTCTAAGAGATAGGCGTGGTATGTCGCGATCAGATGATGGTGATAACTTGTCGTTCTAAGTTATCAAAGTCGAAGTCGTCAAACTCTGGGTACAAGGAAATTTCCTCTGGAGTGCGATGCTCTCCCCACGGGTGGTTAAACGTACCCACTCTCCGATACGTACCTTGCTCATCCGAGACTGCCTCAAGTATAAGCCCTCGGACGTATCCAGTGTGGAAGCTTGTCTGATTATCCATCGAGAATGAGAGTGGGTCATCATATTTGGATGAAAGTAAGTATCGCCCTTGTTGTAGCAGTTCTGGGGATTGGTTCATGTGTGTATCATACCAATCACTTATGAACGGAACATCCTTCGAGCGCGGACGCCTATCCTTGCCGGAATGAGGACGCATGTAGCCAGAAAGATGGAAATAACCACCTGTGACCTGTTCCATCGGGTTATGTCTGGCTAAGGTTGTTGATGCATCCAGAAGAGTCACCAAGGTCGCAGGTTCAGCGATGAAAGGATGCATATAAGAAACACTGCCTTTCACTGAAGCCCAAGACCACGACGGTGCTTCTCAATGCATTAGGCGGCTCTCTAACAGCATTGGATTTCATATGATTACTGACCTTGATAATTACAGGGGCAAGTACCCCCATGAAATAATTGCCAGAGTAGTCCATCAGGAAGGCAGCCTTTCCACAAGCCTGCAAGGTAGACGTCAACTAACAGTTTCCCAAACTGATGCGCTAACCTACATATGGCTGGCAACACATCTGATTCGAAGGTGAGCTTGCAGTCTGAGTACGATTGTACAAGTTCAGCCCAACGTTTGTAGAGAGTGAACTGATCACGATCGCGTCCAAATGAGTAGTCCACGAGTTCAAAATTCCCTTCTTTGAACTGATCGGTATCTAACAGGCGTCTTAACTTGTAAGGCGTGTCGTATCCCCATGTGGGTTGAAGCTCGTACGGCATACCATCCGGGAAAAGCTCGTTGGTGTAAATTTCTGTGCATTCCCAGCTCAATTGACTTCCGAAATAGATGGAACGTGGGCTCAAAAGTCGCTCTTGAAGTACCCAGCCTCGCTTCATCAAAGGCTCATTATTGAGTTGGTTGCGGAAGTTTTCTGGAATACCATAGCAGGGAAAGGTTAGACCTTGACGTTGTACGTCCACAGGAAAGACTGTGTAGGGCATAGTATTACTCTCAGTGAAGAAGCCGACTGGCGATTTGGCAGCCGCTGTAGCACTGATATGGCAGTACATATTTGCATAAATAGCCCCCATTTTTTGGATTTCGCTTTTGCAGTCTGCATCATCATCCTGGATAAAACAAAGTGCATCGATCCAGAGGTAGCTCAATTCCAGTCTCCTACAAAAATCAATCGCGTCTCGAAAACTAGTGGAAGTGATTTCATTACGATTCCAGACTTCATGGGTTCAAAGTTTTCTTGCAACAGCTTAAGCATGCGTGAATCTCCCCATCTGTGGCTAAGGGTAGCATATACCATTGAGGAGATTGGAATGTCGTTCCTGAGAACCAGTTTTGGCCGTCCAGGTGAGGTTACATTGATCAAACGATTGGGAAACGAGTCGGGTCCTTCCTCTGGTCTTGGTTGATGACATTGCGAGTGGTTTCCTACACAAGTTTGAATCCAGTTTTTGATTAATCTTAAACGCGCGGATGCACTAGAATTGCTTTCCAGGGGGGTGGTGTTGATAGGGAGGGAACGTGGCTTGTCGTTGCGTAGTCGTCCCGAAGAGTAGTACGTTTGTACCGATAGTTTATGATGCGACTGCAGTTCAAAACATCATCTCGTGGTCGTAACCTAGCTATGTGCTTGGTTCGCAGTGGCATATTTTGACCGATTGCTAAATTCATGTCCTCAACAGAGGATTCGGATATGGGACAGTCCTTAAGATATGCATTTTCCTGACAGAGCATAGTAGTAGGAGTAAGGCGCAGTGGATTACTGTCACTTGTTTGAACTTCATCAGGAGTGTGTTGAGAACATTCCCAGGCCAGTCGACAAATTGGACATCCATCGGCTTTGCCTTTAGCAAGGTCTTCTTCTAGAACAGGTATTTGGATTTGATCCACAGCGCCATGAAAATCAAATTCTTGAGTTGGACGTATGAGAAAACTGCGGCAATTACTGCGTAGCGAGAAATCTAATTCGTCGGACCGTCTGGTCGACATCGAGCAGGGAGAAATAAGTGTGAAATTACAGTGAACGTGAATGAGTATGGATGATTGACTCCACTCGCATCGGCCTCATTGGTGTTTACGGATGTTGTAGACGAGTGAGGGCAATCCGGCAAACTCAGGAAGCAACAGCCAACTAAGTCGTCGTACGGGCAAAGAGCTGAACCTAGTTGCGATATCGGCTGGCCTTGTCTGAGATGTGTACAGCGCGAGGAGAGTGGGTATCATGGGGCTGAACTGCTACGCAACGTCTGCAACTGCCATCAGCATTTGCTCATGTACTCGCGCCGTGCTACTAGGAAACGGGTGCGGCGTTCTCCTCTTTCACAAGAAGGTATGTCGTCGAACTAGTCTCAACAAACGACGGTGATCATCGATGGCAGCCGTCCTCGCTTAGCCCAGAGCCTGTCAATCAGCCACCATGCATGGGCACGTGAAAGCAGCCGTTCTCGTGAAAGTGGCGTGCACATCGTTTATCGCATCCTTCCCGGCGTTTCCGCCCGGTCGAGAAGACATGCCGATTACCGAGACTTCGTTACGAGCACATGCCGCGGTTGCAAAGGAGGCTCGGTGGCAGCTGATCGTGGTCATGGCCACTTGTGAAAGCCGAGCTATGGAACACTGATGAATAGGAAATTGCTTTTTGGGAGCTTGAGCCGCAACACCAAAACCACCGAGCCCCAAACCAGTAGGCGCGATGAGTAAGCTCGTTCGTGCATTCCACCAAGGCGCCCAGACATCGTCATCTCGAATACCCGAACGATGAGACCCCACTTTCACATGTGATGCCAGGCATGAAGATTCTGTATGCCCTCCACCTAGGAGACTTGCTATCGACGCGCGCCGTCCTGCACTCTTGCTGCACGGTAGGCGTACGGGTGCGGCACGTACGACGGAGCAAATGCCCGCAGCCGTTAAATGGAAGCATCGAGACTGAAGACGTGATAAGGAATCCCAATCGAGACGAAAGAGCGCAGAAAGACTGGCTCAAAGGGCAGTACCGCTTACGCAGGGTAGGTTTCATACAAGCAATTAGATCACGACATGGCGGTGCACAAATGAAATCAAGGCTCGGTACGAGACGACACAAAATACCGGCACATCCGTATCTCGCACACCATGGATCAGCAAGTTTTGGAACACGGCCTTTACCAACGAGAGCGACATGGGCTGACCTTATCTGAGGTTGCTGCTCCTGACTGGCCAAAGCGTCAGCTCTATCACATGCCAGGCGTATACAACCAGGTTCCGAACGCCTTGTCCAGTGTCGCAACGTCTCTCTGTACGCGGCAGATAGAGTGTAAGACGCGGGGCTCGCATGGAAGATAACGTGTTGTGTAATACATGGCTTGCAGCTACTCCGCACTATTAATCTCAACATTCGAGACGAAGCGCTGCGAGCATCGGACCGACGTGATGACGTTTTGGTAGGTTCCGCCTTGTCGAAAATACGGTTATCGATAAGCTCTTTCACATGTCACTGCATCAGTTTCACCCCAGCCACTGGGACCACGCCGTTTTCAGCAAGGCTCCCAACCAAATACAGTCACATCATAGCGTCTCGCCATATAATAAGGTGGACTAGAACTTCTCCCCTCTCTCTACGTTACTGTTACTCCTCCACCACCGTTCAATTCAACATTTCTCAACCTCTACTAGAGTAATCAGTCAAACACTGCATATTTACTACTGCAATTCATGGCACCGCACGCTACAGACGACGGCAACATGAGCAACAACTCGGCCCCCATGACCAATGGCGAGACGCCTAGCTCCAAAATCTTATCGGTATGTACTACTCTTTTCTCCCGCTCTTCAGTGCGATTCCAAACGCTTCAATCCTTCTCCGCCGTCAATCTGGAAATCGATGAAAGGTATCGCAACGCCACATTAGGGTCTAGCGCCATTTTGCATCGTTATCAGGAGACCTCACACCTCTCTTCCCCAGTCGCGGGGTCTCGAGCCTACGAACCGGAATTTGCTTGGGCCAGTAACACGATGCAAGCGCGGAGGTTATCCCGGCCAATCAGTCGGTCGAGTCTAGACCCTCCAATATGCAAGACAAGCCCAGTCTTATAGTAACGGATGTCGGGAACAACATCCTGAAAACCTTCAGCGCGCCGCCGCTTACTGGATCTTCGAGCAGTTGGCCGCCACACCCACAGCCGTTACAATCTAGATTTTGGAAACCAGAGCTAACACAACCATCAGCATCTCAACTCCTACCCAGCCATCCATGATGGCGTCGAGACGTTCAAGTCCAACCCCTACGGCTCCCGTGCCCTGACTCTCGCCAGCAACACCTACAACAACGTCGTTGCACCCCTTCACCCATATCTGCGCACACCCTACTCCTACCTCTCGCCCTACCTCGAGCGCGCAGACCAGCTCGGCGACAGCGGCCTCTCAACACTCGAGACGCACCTCCCCATCGTCAAGGAAGATACGTCGAAACTCAAGGAGTACGCCTTCTCGCCCGTGTCATATGTACAGGGCGCATGGCAAGACGAGTACAACAAGACGCACTACAACAACGGCGTCGTGAAGATGGGTGTTGCGGCCGTCAGCTTTGAGCTGAGGATGATCAGCGATGCCTGCGACGTTGTGCTGGGCTACCTAAACAAGGGCAAGGAGGAGACGAAGAAGAAGGTCGATGAGATCAACCAGTAGGGTGGCGTACTGGGTAAGGATCTATGATGGTGTGGATGCGCAGCCATGCGCCGTTGAAGTCGTGCTAGACCGTCTAGACTGTATGCTGCCTAGACTTGTACTACGAGAGACTACGGAGCCGTATAGGCTCGTGTCATCGGAAAAGTGAAAGCGAGGTTAATGGGGAGTTTTCTTGTGCCCTGCCTGGGCATACTTCATCATGCCGACGGCATGGGTGGTTAGTTTTAGACTGAGTAATGACAATGATATCCCGTGCAAACTATTACATTGCTCTACATCATGTCATGTCGTCGGCGTAACAATTTCTCACGCTATACCGTCCATGCTAATATATGCGCAACCGATCGTCCGTCAAAAGTAAGATTAACGACTTCTGTGCCAGGGTGGTCCATCAGGCGACTCGGTCCAGTTAGTAATCCTGCCTGCTAGGATAATTCAGCGGTTCGCGTTACCAGCTCAATCGACGATGGATGAACGCAGCGCTGGGTCCTGTTAATATCACATGCCAATCACACTCGTCACCCGGTGGTGTGCACGAAAGCCAACGTGAAAATCATGTGCATTTCATGAAGGTCGTGGATTGAGCCGAATGCCGGATTTTTCATGCTTTGATTATCAAGCCGAAATACACGCCTGGATGACAGGCCGGGTTGGAGGTCCTGTCCGCCCTATGATATCCACCGACATGCTCATGCAGGATCTTCCGTGTCAAATCATGCCCATCTGCGCCCAGCCGTAACCAAAGGAAAGCTTAGAACTGTAAGGGAGTGAAGAACCATCGGTTCTTTCCGGACTGGTATCGCTCCTCGAATGCCTTCTTCACCGTCTTCTTGGCCTCCTCCCGTTGCGAAACCTCCTTGAATGTGTCGGCGGAGATGACGCCCTTCAGGTTCTCGAGCTCAATGGTGTAGCGGGTAGGCATGATGTGAGTGTCTGCTTATGTCAGTAACTTTTCCTCCCACCACACTAGCTTCCACGTACAGTTGACCTGCTTGACGAAAGGCTTGACCTTGCTCTTCTTGGCCTGCTTGTTCTTTGACATGCGGCGGGTGACCTTGGAGGGGTAGGTCTCGATACCGGCAACGAGAGCGTGGGGGAAGGGATGCGACTTGGTGCCGTTGTCAAGTGGTGAGATGATCACGCACTTCTTGCCGGCATAGCGGCCCCGGGTGATGATCTAGGCGGACTGTGAGTGGATGCGAAAGAGCGGTTTCGAGCGGTTTGAACGTACGACAACGCGTCCGACCTTGAGGCTGCAAAATTATATTAGCAGCTGTTCTGTCGCATGTTGTCGGTAGGTGCAGGTGCAGAATTGACGTTCCGCGAGCAAATCAGGAAATTGCATCGTCTCAAATTGTATGCAAAAGCACTCATGAGGGATACGGAGGTACTCACAACTTCATTTTGGCTGTCGTCCGGGTTAGTAGATGGGTTACTGGGTCGTGTCGTGAAGAGGTTCGTGGTAGCAATATTGGTGTGCGCGCTAGGTGTTTTCGCTGGCGCCACAACGCTAAGATTGTTTACGGTTAGCGCAGTCTAGAATCGGCTAGCGCTGCCGCTGACTCTGGAAATCTTGCGCCAAAAGTTCGCGATGTCTTCCAAGGAAGGTTGAAGAGCTGGACATTTACGACACACTATGAAGATCAAGGCCCTCAGCCGCTCGACGGCCTCTACGCAGGCGCCTGGCTCCAGTATCGCGAAAGTCACGAGAAACCTAGACCCGAACCTCCACCCCTTCGAACGAGCGCGAGAATACACCAGAGCCCTCAATGCGACAAAAGTTGAGCGCATGTTTGCACAGCCATTTCTCGGCGACTTCGAGCCCGGGCATGTTGATGGTGTTTATTCCTTCGCGAAGGATCCCAACTCGCTCGAGTGTTTTGCTAGCGGCAGTGGCGACGGTGTCGTGAAGGTGTGGGACTTGACAAGCAGGGAGGAGAAATGGCAGGCTCAAGCGCACGAGAACCTGGTCAAGGGCATGTGTTGGACTCAGGACCAGAAGCTCATTACCTGCGGGTCCGACCGCCAAATCCAAATGTTTGAGCCATACACCCAACCCTCCAAGTCCCCTCCAAAAGCGACCTGGCATGGCAACGCAGCCTTTACGTCCGTTTCGCACCACCGTTCCCTACCAACCTTTGCTGCTGGTTCCAGCGTAATTTCCATATACGACACGTCAAGAACATCGGGAGCCCCGGTTTCGAGTCTCGTATGGCCTTCGGTAAGCATCCCCACCAACTACGCTTGAAGTATGTACTGACTTGGTGACAGGCTATCGACACCATCACAGACGTCAAGTTCAACCAAGTCGAGACTTCCATACTGGCATCATGCGCAACCGATCGAGCTGTCATCTTGTACGATGCCCGCACAAACTCTCCTCTACATCGCACAGTCCTCAACTTTGCGGCAAACTGCCTTGCATGGAACCCAATGGAAGCCTACAACTTTGCCGTCGCGTCTGAGGATCACAATGGATACATATTTGATATGCGCAATATGAATCGAGCGTTGCAGGTCTTGGTAAGCTTTCACGTACACAAACACTTCATGCTTAAAGCAGTACTAATGTACAACAGAAAGGTCACGTTGCGGCGGTCATGTCAATTGAGTTCTCACCAACTGGAGAAGAGCTCATTACAGGCTCCTACGACCGCTCCATACGATTATGGGAGCGACAAAAGGGTCACTCTCGAGATGTCTACCACACCAAGCGGATGCAACGTGTGTTCTCGGTCGCCTGGAGCCCCGACAACAAGTACGTGCTCAGCGGGTCAGACGATGGCAACGTTCGTCTATGGAGAGCTAGAGCATCCGAGAGGTCTGGTATCAAGTCATTCGCGCTACGACAGAAGTTGGCATATGATGAAGCAGTCAAGGAACGGTACAAGCACATGCCTGAGATCAAGCGCATCGACAGGCACAGACACCTCCCCAAGACTGTCAAGAAGGCCGGTGAGATCAAAGCTGAGGAGATCAAGTCTATTAAGCGGAAGGAAGAGAATGTCAGGGCTCATTCGAAGAAGGGTTCCGTCAAGCGGAAGGCGGAGCGCGAGAAAATGATATTGGCGAGAGAACAATGAAGTACGAAGAGGAGGAGGTTTCATGGTTTTTTCCTGCATAGCAATGGCGTTTTCTGGTGTCTGACCTTTTATGACGAGAATTTACGGACTCTGTATGTTTGGTAAAAAGTATGTAAGGTCAACGGGGGCTTTCAAGTATGGTTGTTAAGCTCATATTGGGCTTTCTACACGTGACGTTATTCGATTGCGTCATACCGAGGTTTCCCGAGCCCCACCTTTCGTTTCGTGCTGTAGAGGGGAAAGTTGCATGTCCATACAATTGAGGCTGGAAAACTGTTCGATCATCTCTGTATTCGTGTGCCCTACAAAAAGCTCAACACACAAGACCAAGTCCCAAATTGAAGAACCCCCACCACAGCCATGTCATCCACATCCGCCATCGACATCCAAAACGCCAAATTCAACACTCTCGGTCTAACAAAAAGTATCACAGCCAAAGGGAAAATATGCTGCTACACCCGCTCTTTGGAATCCTCCTCGAGCAAGAACCCAATCCTCGTGCTCATCCATGGCTACCCACAGTCAGCATACATGTAAACCCCTCCCCTAATCGCCAACCAAAGACTCCATATCTTACCAAGTGATCAGGTGGCGTCACGTGATCCCCCTTCTACCACCCAACGCTCCCTTATTTGTACCCGACCTACCTGGCTACGGCGCCAGCGCTCCAATCGAAAAGAACGATAAACTCAGCGTAGGTACCGCAGCACTCGAAGCTCTGAAAGAACAAGTCCAGAAAGCCGATGGGAAAGACTCCGGAAACGTGGAGGTCGTTTTGATCGGACATGACCGTGGAGCTAGAGTAGCCCATCGCCTTAGCGTAAGCGGTGTATGTGGGATACAAATCCTAGGTGTCTGTTTAATCGACATTGTACGTTTGCCCAGTTTCATGTATGTTGTCTGAGATACAAGACGTGAACTAAATATCCCAGGTCCCCACCTCAACGCAATGGCAGCACTTTGCCTCCCCCGCTGCTGCAGCAAAAGAAGTAACAGGCTACTTCCACTGGCCCCTTCTCGCAAACACCGATCTCGCAACCCGCATGATCACCGCTTTTGGTCCGTCGAACTGGTGCCAGGAAATGATACTGCGCTGGTCTGGGGAAAACTTTGCTGGGACTGACAATTTGAAGGCTGATAACGCGTTGAAGGTGTATGGGGATTTCTTTGCGCAGGAGCATACTCTCAAGGCGAGTTGCGAAGATTATAGAGAGGGGGCTACCACAGATGTGGAGAGGGAGGAGAGGGATCAGAAGGAAGGAAGTAAGATTGATGTACCAGTGTTGTTGCTGTATAGTGAGGCGGGGATTGGGAGTCGGTTTGATTTTCCGGATGTTTGGAAAGAATGGATTGGGGAGGGTGTAGAGATTGAGAGTCATGGGTTGGGGGGAGGTGTTGGTCATTTTGGAGCTGAAGAAGCGCCTGGGGAGTGTGTACAGGTGATTCAGGGATGGCTTGGGAAATTTGTTGGATATTATTATTATTATTATTATATTTCCATTAGAGTCCTGTATCAGTCGGTGACTATGTAGGACTTTGGCTAAGCCGTTCTATGTATGTTGTTCAATATGGAGTTTCTATAGGTCTTGTACAATTTGGAGGATAGTTGCGTAGTCCAATTTCCGAGCTAGTCTTCCATTGGCGCGGGTGCTAAAGAGCAGTGTGGTGAACAGAAAGAGATGTAACAGCGAGCTCTTTGCGAAAAGAAATATTGTTTGTAGTTTTATACAGTGTCTGTCTGTTGTTTTGTGTAGGCGTCTGTATATAGGGATCTACAAGAGAGAGAATAGATCTATACAGCTATTGCCTGGTCGATGTTTTGCTCGTGCGTGTGCTAGTGAAAGCAGGTGCTGGAGCGGTTCGGTATATGGGGTCGGTATATCGAGTCGGTTTAGGGCGTTCGGTAGAGAGGGTATTTGGTGTAGGCGTCTGTATATAGGGATCTACAAGACAGAATAGATCTATACAGCTATTACCTAGTCGATGTTTTGGGCGTTTTGGTGTAGGCGTCTGTATACAGGAATCTATTATAACCTAACAATAATAGACCTATACAGCTATTGCCTAGTCGATGTTTTGCTCGTGCGTGTGCTAGTGAAAGCAGGTGCTAGAGCGGTTCGGTATATGGGGTCGGTATATCGAGTCGGTTTAGGGCGTTCGGTGGAGAGGGTATTTGGTGTAGGCGTCTGTATATAGGGATCTACAAGAGAGAGAATAGATCTATACATCTAGTGCCTGGTCGGTGTTTTGCTCGTGAGTGTGCTGTGACAGCAGGTGCTGGAGCGGTTCGGTATATGGGGTCGGAATATCGAGTTGTTTAGGCGGTCGGGTATAGGTAGCATCTAGATAT